CTAAGAAGAGTTTTGGTCCTGGAAGCCACAAATAGAAATACAAAAAATTTAAGATTAATCAGGCTTTAAAAACGATTAGGCCTGGTTCAGTTGCAGAGGAAAGAATATTTTTTATTTTGGGGATTTTTTCGAAATTAGTTTAAGTGATCTTAGTTTACATATCGGTAAATAGAAAATAAAGAGACGTCCTGCGTTTATTGAAACTCTAGAGCTTTTTGAAAACTAGTTAAATTGCTAATATTTTTTCAAATTTGTGTGTCAAACAATTCAGAATGGCATGAAAAGTAGAGAAAACATATAATGGCAAATCGATTTTTTGGTCGAACTTTAAGTTAAACTTTGGGAAGTTAAACAAATGTAATTTATTCTCATGATTATACTATGCGAATTATTTGCTTTCAGAAAGAAAAATATTGAACAATGAATATTTGCATTTATTGTATGAGTGCAATTCACTGGTTTTAATCATAAATTAATTTTGTTTACAAATTACTCGTTTTATATATTTTTTATCATATCTCTAATGATCCTTTATCAAAAACATTTGTACCGATATAATAGCGCTCGTAATGAAGTCCACTTATTTACTTGACGTATCATTACCTGCGGCTACCAGCTGGTTTCCGGCATAATTTAATTAATTCATAGAATCAGTTTTCCTGATGGAAATGAATCCGCATCAAAGACTTTTGTTCAAATACAATTTCATTAAAATTATATGCATAGGTTCGGGAAATAACACGCGTACACAATAATTACCTTGGCGCAAATGTTTTCATCAGATAAAGCTCACTCGAAATAATAAATGGGGAAGTCGAACTTTGAGCTTTTGAAGCATATATGATCGTGTTGTTCTTAGAGAGCTTTATGATTTTACATATAAAGTTTGTTGATCAGATACTTATAATTGAATAAAGTTGGTGTAGAACAAATAACCCTGGGAGATTTAAGTTCGACATATGTCGTCGCATTGTAGAAAGTCTCCTTGTTTTTGTTTTTCACTTAAGGGAATTGTAGAAAGTAAGGAATTTGATAATTTTCTAATACACCTTGTAAGGACGATTCTTTGCCAACATCTTATCAGTACTATTTTAAGATCTTTCAAACGGTTTTTAATTTTTGAAAATCGGTTCAGGATGTTTTGCAAAAAATTGGCCCATTTTTTTGCAAAAGTAACCAATGCCAGTTCTTTATTGAATTGCTTTGAATGATTTTAAAATTTTCATAGTTGGTCTAGCCCTTTTCAAGAAAATATCGAATCACATACAAAAATACACCTTTTTCAATATTAGACTTAAATGATTCAGAATGACTTGAAACGTCGAGGGAACATGGAATTCAGAGATCGGATGTTCTAACAAAGACATTAACTTCAGGAAGTTAATAAACTTTTTTTGAACATATTGGAATATTTTGCATTTGTTTTGCATATTCTATAGCTATGTTTAATATAGATTCAGATATCAATAATGGTACATATTTAACCGATATATACTTTCTGATATAGGCTCAGAAAATTGATTATTATCAATAAAACAACCCTCATTTTGTGTTAAGAATTTTAAATAATACGCGATCATTTCATATTCCGTGTCAAGAGACTTCACTGTTGTGCAATGAAAATATTTATGGCTTGCTCTCATGTGAACTTATGTTTACTTAACATAAAATTATGGCTTTGTTTGAAATATAATACAATAACATCTAAAGTTGTACAAAATAAGTGTCAATGCCTTTTATGAAGGTACAGTTAATTAATTTTAGTACCAGATCAGTCTATTACCATGATGAAAACCACATCAATAGATTGTTGTCCATAGCTTTATTGCCAATATGCATGCAAATTTAAATTAATTTTGGCAGTGATCGTCTTTACAAGTGAAATGGGATTAAACTTGACATTAGTTCTTGTTACAAGATGTAGTTACATAGAGAATATATAGCAAATCAGATTGGAGGAAGTTGCATCTTATTTTAGACTATCAGTAGTACTGATATTACTCTTATTCTTATTATAGACTATCAGTAACTACTGCATATAGAGTATAGTAAATTGGAAGATGAAATGTTTGAATTCTTTAGGATTGAGTTTTTAGACAATTATACCAAGCACCCTTGCCTGATTGAGATATGAATAATATAAATGAAGTTATATCTAAAAAAAGACAATTAAGGTGTTAATGTGGTATAAATATGCAAATAATCATAATTATTTCTCATTTTCTATCTATAAAATGGTTGAATTAACTTTGGGATTGAATTCTTGGACAACAACTATGCCAGACATTCCTGCCTGATTGAGATATGAACAATATAAACAAAGTTACTTGTAAAGAGAGGACCATTTTGGTACTAGTTTGGAATGAATTGCAAATTATCATGATCATTGCTCAATTTGAAAATATCAGTACTTTCCTACTACTTCTAGAGTACAGTAAATTGGAAAAAAATGTTTCTAATAACTTTGGGATTGAATTTTTGGACAATTATACCAAGCACTCCTGCCTGACTGGAATATGAATAATACAAATGAAGTTATATCTAAGAGAAAAGGACAATTTAGGTGTTAGTGTGGTATAAATATGCAAATAATCATGGTTATTTCTTAATTTCTAGCTATGAATAGCTATGATTGCCTGATAAAAAAGCAGAAAAGTGACAACTGGTTCTAGAGGATCAAGATCCTTCTTGATCACCTTGTTCAAAAGGTACTGATACCAGATTTTTACTTGAAGTTATAGATATCAATTATGATATCAAGTGAAACTAGACTTTCAGGACAATGCTGCTAGATATATATTCCCATCACTATTAGATATACATCAGACATTCAATATAATTTCAGTCAGATAATGGTTAACAACTGGGTTGCTTTCTAGGTCCTGGAATGCATATTACAACAGCAAATGGAACACATACTTATGATTGCAGCCCAATTGTATATTGAGATTTTTCAATTTAAAATAGAGTATAGTAACAGTAAAAAATCCTACCTTGTGCATGTAATTTCCTTCCATATTTGTCCAGAATCCTCTTCCACGATATTCAGAATATACCAAGTTAATACAATTCTGGTGCACTATCGGTTTCTATTTATTATATTCGCTGTGCGATCGTTAATCTTCTTCACGATGGAGGTCGCCGTATTGAATTACCATTATCTGTAATGCGATATTATTAATCAATGTCATAATTTATTATACCGTGTTACGCGATATACAATCCCGTATACGAATCATCATATCGTATATATTTTGAATCACTGATACAAAAGTTATTACAGAAATTCTGTCGGTGATATAGAGCGCTAATTACGATCAGAAATGTCATCGACGGAAATGGAAATATAGTTATAGATTTGAAACATACTTACTTGGAATTGTAAAATATCACTTATACACATTATCAATCACCTTAATTTATTCACAATCTTTCTTATTTACAAATAATAAACTTAAATTTTTTTCCGACATTTTGTCAATGTTATTATGCCGCCATTGCGCTCGCTGAAACGTCACTCAGCGGCTCAACGCACTGACATGAAGTGCGTTATTTATGTACAAATATTACAGGGTGACTTATAATATATTGCTCAAAGAAAATTAGTTAAAGACACATGAATACAAATTTAATTAACATATTTATTATTTTAATTATAGACATACATAAATATTATTTTATTTTTTTTAATTATCGCCAACTTCTCAATAGTTCGTTGATTATGTCGCTAACTTCATACCATCTTCATACGTTTGACAAGTTGACAACTACGAAAATCAATTACTTGTTGTTCGTTAATGTTGAACGCGTCGGACGTGTCATAGTTTATTTTATAATATTGTTTATTTAAAAGAAATGGTGCAAAAAATTATCAACTTTTGTGGCAAACTTACGATAAGCTTTGTGTTCAGAAGTGTGATGTTTAATTTCTTTTCTCTACTTAAATTTTCTCAAACTGTCAGCTGATACATTTAGAAGATTTTTTTTTGTACAAAATGGCTTCCTTTTATTGATTGCAATTTATAAAGGATTGTTTAAAATATCTTCTCTATATGGAATATATAATTCTGATTATAATTACAAATCTTCTTGACATTTATAATTATGATTTTAGTTTTTTTAATTATCGGCAACTTCACAATCGTTCATAGTTCTTTCTTGTTGCGGCTTACTTCATGTTGGTATTTTCCCTGCCGACAAGTTGACAACCATGAATGTTCAGTTACTCGTTGGCGTTCGTTAATGTCGGACATGTTAAAGTTTGGTTTATAAAATTGTTTATTTTGAAAAAATAATGCAATGAGGTTGTATCAATTATTGTGCAAAACTTATTTTGAATCTTTGTGTTCAGAAATCTAGTGTTTAATTTGTTTTCTCTACTTAAACTTTCTCAAACAGTCAGCTGATATGTTTAGACGAATTCAAATCCAATATGGCTACCTTTTAATTGATTACAATTCATAAATAATTGTTCAATATGGCACTTCTAAGTTTTACTGCCAGCTTTAAAATACACTTACAGAAGTTCAACGATTTTTTATTATTCATGACTTCTGTTATTTTTGTAACCCAAATACTGACAATTGCTGACTGTCAAAACTTTTGATGTTTGTTGAAAAGAAATGTTGCAGATATTACTAGCTTTTGTGTTACTTATTAACTAATAAGCTTTGGGTTCAAAAGTGTAGTATTTTTACTCTTATTTTTTTTAATTACACAGCTGTCAACTAACGCTTTTTTATCCAATATGGCGCCAAATGATTGTTTACAAATTATGACAAACTGTTCTCTTATTGCCAGCTTTCAATTAAACCCATAGCAGTTTAACGCTTTTTCATTACCTTTAGTCATTTCATAACCAATTTTAGTGGCTATAAAAACCTTCGACTATTTTATTACCGATTTTGCACTCGAATTGTCCATCAATGCCCAGTTTGAAACTGCCAAAATATCTCACTAATTTCAATATTTGCACAGATTTACGTATTCGTATGTTCCAGCTCATTCAACAAATTGGTCCCAGCAGATCGTGTCACCATAAATCAAATCTAATGTGCAATATTTTACTTGCATACATGTGTAGAAACAGAAATGCACATACACAGGCCTGGAATAATGCACAAATTACTACAGAGATAGTGGAAATAGAACATAAATTATATTGCCAAGTACTCGCTGTTTGCTGAACTGAACTTCATCAGAAGAGCGTGTTTGTTGCTTTTAGAATAAATAAGCTTAGTATGTTTTGTTCGCTTCTGGAGGCGAAGTGTGTTGGGAAAAAAATTCACTCTACTTCAATAATACATTATCATCTCTAACAATAAGTATACAATGTGTTGTACTTCTGCATGCACTATGAAATAGTGATGCAAAACCAAAATTTACTTTGTCATGACCTACATACTTCCACAATGATAATGCTTTGCAACTTGCTTTTTTTGAATCACAAAAATAATTGTGTTTGAAAATTTTTTGCTGCCTGAATCAATTTTACACAATTCTAATGTCTCAGAAACCTGTACTAAAATTTTGAAGATTTTTCTGACTGTTTTTCAAATTTGACTCACTTTCTGCAAAAATTATTATCTACAAGTTTTTCTTAATGAATTCAAGGCTATTGATTCATTTTGCGATTACAATTTGCACATTTTTAAACATTTTTTTATTTAGTGAGTGTTTTATGAACTATATAAAAAACATAGTAACGATAAATTATTATTATAAACTTTACTTTTTTTGTGTGTGGAGACTTCCAGTTATGAATTAAAAAGCTCTTAAACTTTAAGTGTAATATTTTGTTTACGTGAATTTTTAAGTTTTTTTGTCTCGAATTTTTAATATGATATTCATTACTTTTAGTTTTTCGGTTGTTTTTGGAGACTTATAGTTATAAAAGCTTAAACTTTAAAAGTGTAATTTTTTGTTTACATGAATTTTCAAGCTTTTTCGTCTCGCAATTTTATCATGAACTTCGCTACAAATCAAATTATGAAAATACAGGTCGGTTTTTTTTATTTTTGCAAAGTATATTTGAATAAATTGAAAAAAATATTTACAAGTTCAATATAAATTAATACAATTTTTTATTGACTAATGATAATGATAGGCTAATGTGTATAAGGTTTTACATGAAGCCATACAAAATATTTTTTTAAATTTGAATTCACCTCTTAGAATAATTTACAATTTATTATTTACGTTAGAAATAAATTAAAGCAAAGAGTTTTTTTGTTATTTTTTTGGAATCATAATGATGATTTGCTTAATTTATTTTTAACACAAGATTTTTTGTAGTAATAGATATATCTTTTAATAATAAATAATTCTAGAAAAGTTGTAGATTTTTTAGAAGTATGTACATTTAATCTTGATCAAATATTTTTGCAAACAGCAAAGAAATTTCAAAAAATCTATTACCACAAAAAATCATCAATTATTTCATATTTATAATATTTTTTATGTTTTATATTATATATTTTAGTTTTATGATACCTATAAATAATATATTTAATCTTAGATCAAACCATTATTTGATCTTAGATCATTATATACATTCTATAATATGAATTTATTATAGAAATGAGCAATTGATATTTCTGATGGTTTCTATGTCTATTTCTGAAATGATTAAATAGAATGGATAGAAATACCCATGAATTTTTTGCCAAAAAATTTGATTTTTCAATTATATGCTTTCTCAGCATGTCAAGTCATTCTGAATCGTTTGACAATAAAATTAGAGAAAGTTTGGGAAAAAAGCTTGGTCGACCTTCTGTAAAAAACAGCTCGCAGATTTCAAAAAAATAAAGTCCAAGTTTGGTACAGTTTTTGAGCTAAGATAGGCCGAGCCTTTTCTCTATAATTTGCAGATTTGTACCAATTTTTTTTTCACCGTTTTTGTCAAATGTTGTAAAACGATTTTGAAAATCCAAAAACCGATGATTTTGAAAGATGTCACTTGGGGATTTGCTGTATAGTTTTTGCTAAAGGTCGGTCGAACGGTTTTTTTATAATTAGTTGCTAATAAATACGAATATTTTTGGCTATTTTGTTGACCCTATTCTGTAGTGAAAGAGCTCATGTCTTAACGAACATCTCAAAAGCCTTCGAAAAATGGTTTTATTACAAAAACTCCTTGAAGACTGGTTGTGAGTCAAACTTTCAAAGTTCTATTAACTTAATATTAAAAGTTGGTAAGATCAATTCATATTATTTAAATCGAAGTTGGCATGTGCAATGAAATTCATCCAACTTTTCTTAAGGCAAAATGCCATTTTCATCTAGTCCATTATTTTTTGGTCCACTCAATAAAAGCTGAGATCAGAAAGTTGTATCAAAAATATGTCAACCAATTATTTCAGTCCAGATCATATTTCGAGCAGTACGAGTTTTCCGTTTCGGAAAAGTTGTTTTAAAATAGTTTTCCAAACACGATTCTCTTCGATAAGCAATAAGCGAAATGAATGTGTCGAGGGTGGAAATGGAAAAGCGATAAAGTTTTCTTGACTCGCAGTTTTAACAGTTACAAATCTTTACCCGGAGCTGTAGTTTCGTGTAGTTTTCGGGGCGGGCTCTTTCACTCCGAACAAAATGTAATGGAAGATTTTTTTTATCTGCGGAGTTATTTCATTTTTATTTTTGTTTGAGAAGGCTAAGTTCCGTCTAAGTTTCTCTATATCTCTTTGGCAGAGATTCGGTCCATTAGCTTATTTCTTTATTATGAAAATAAAATCTTTGCGAAATGTTTGAAAAAGTTCCAGATATGATATATGATTTATACTATTATATTAGTCGGAAACTGCAAAAGTTGAAAATGTGTGCCAGAGATTAATTTCTTTGGTACTGAAAAAACCATGGCTTTAAATTTGCATATGAACTTTCGGTAGATAAAAGAACTATAGAATTATCTACATATTAGATGAAAAATGCTGGAAATTTATCAGCAAAATTTAAATAAAGTACTTTATGTTTATATAAGAAGAGAAGAATATATAATTTAACAATTATATAATTTTTGTTAACATACATTTTCATATTTTATTCTTAATTATTTGTATGTTTTATTTTACTTTTATTACAATATTTTAAATTTTTTCAATGAATTTATTACTGCATCTGTTTGATATATCAAAATTGAACTGAGATTGCTAGAAAGATACAAAAAATGCAGAGTAATATTATATGATGTTGCTCTGTTTTTTTAGCAACTTTGCTCAATATTTTTTATATTGAACTAATAATTATTGATTACAGCTATAATGTTATTAAAAAACGTACGAAAAATTAAGTATAAAATATGAAAATTAGTAATAATAATATTAATTATTCATATAAAATTACATAACTAAACCTACTAATAATTACTAATTTTTTAAGATAAATTTGAAACAAATTTCATCTCAATTCGAATGGGAGAGATCCCATTCTACAAAAAAATCTAAATATGAGTTATTTTATACATTAGTGCATAATTATTTAAACAATAGTAAAACAAAAACTAGGTGTAAGTGTTATTTTGACTAAAGGCAAGTTGTACACCTAAATATGTTAGTGAAAAATTGTATTTAAAATAATCAGAGATTCAAATTAAGAGTTTTATATTCATTTGAAAAACAGTTAACTAGTTTTTTTCAAAAATTATTTAAAGCAAAGCAAAAATCATTTACATGAATAAATTACAGATGATCATTATGTTAAAACAGCAGACTTGTTAATCACCTTTTGAAATAATTTAGTAATGACTCTTAATGCTAAATGATTTTGGAGTTTAACTTAATTAAGGTCGAAATATTTGATCTGATACGAAGTGTATATAATCAGAGAGCTGGGATATACATTTCGTATAATAAAAGATAATAAAAAATATACATTTAACTGGATTTTTACTAATATCTAGTAACAATTACAAAAAAATGTGACAAAAATAAATTTGACTAAATTTCTTGGATTGTATGTTTAGATGTACATTGTATGTTGTTTGTAAACTATAATTATTAGTAATAAACACATATGAATAATTTAAGTCGTTTTGTTATTGCACCTATAAATTAATAAACGTTTTAAGAAAAATATAAATAAAATAAAATAATGTATTTATAAAAAATGTGAGCTTTGCATACTATGTAATCACTGAGGATGCTAAATTAAATCAATGATGATTTTAAATGCCACAAATTTATGCAATTACTTGTTTGATGCATTTATAAGAGCTACTTAATGCTTATCCTATTTTGACCATGTTGTTGCATTTTCAATATTGCAATTTATTTGTATGGATTGATTTTTATTCAGAAAAAAATCTTTCAGCAACTCTTGAGCAATCCAGTTGATACCACAAACATATTCATTTTGAATAACACAAATATTTTATTTCATGGTTTAAATACTTCAACAATGTTTTCCTAGTAGGGATCTTTATTATAATTTTAATTCTTTGTATTCAAACTCTATTTTGTACCGACTTTCTAATTTCTTTTCTATTATTATTAGTAGTCTTTTCTATTTATTATTGCAAAATACCTTTCTAATGTTCGTCAGCCCTAAATCTACCTCCGCCTTAGGAGTAATGTTTCACCTGGTCTTGAATAAATGTCTTAATGTTGGGCATAATTAATTGCGTAATAAAACCATTAGTTAAGCTGAATCGTCTACTCTATAATTACTGGGCGTACAATTAATTGAATCTAAGTCTTCGTTTACTCGCTTTATAAACGGCTCGGATAATAAACGATACATAAACAAAGAGTGTTCTTTTCTTTGAAAATTCTATACTTTTTGCATAGATGGGTAAAGTTCAGTAGTTCATTTTGTATTGTTTAACTTCATAATTAACTTAGTTTAAAAACATACTTATAATAATTAATAATATGAGATAATGGGTTTGCATAATATTTTAAATATTTTGATAAAGTTTACTTAAAGTTTGGTTTAGTTTTAATTATAAACTAATTATAATTGTTCCAATAGAATACATAATTTACTTTGCTTTTTGAACTTTATAATTATTATATAATATATAAATAATTCTGAAATAAACAAAATAGGTCAAAGTAAATTTTGAACTCTGTATTAAATTTGCTCCGATATTTTTAGGCCAGTCCTGTTACTT